ATCCCAAAGCAATCCTGGAGCATACTCGCTGACCACCCGTAAAGAAATGGCAAAGAGGAAGGAGAAGAACAGCGCCTTGGTTTTCTTCTTTGCTGTCACTTCTGCGTTCTTGCCTGCATGCAAAGATTGAATCGTGTACGCAGCAGCCACGCCGGAAGGAAATACGAGCTTCAACTTCAAAATATAAAACTTCCTCAGCGGTTGAGTGAAGCTCAAACCAAAGAAGGCACAACAAATTGTGAAAGTGATTAGTCTGGCAAAGTCGTCTTTGGGATTAGCGCTCAGTAGCCCAAGTTGGTATGCGGCAGGGAAACCCGAGGTGAAGAGCAACCCGAGGCTTCCCGCTGACGTGGCGGCAGATTGACAAACATTGTTCTCTTTAGGCCCAAAATAGCCCCCGCCAAGAAACGTCGGTGCACTTCTTGAGAGTGGTTTCAAGATCGCGAAGCCTATGATCGAGCCGAACAATGACTGCGCCAAATGTCCACCCCGTCTGCATGAAAGGATGAGTGCATGTATTAACATATCAAAAGGATAACTGACTTTGAGACCCAGGTAGATGTTGCTGGCTGCGATGATGCCCCCCAAAATGCAGCCGACTAGTACAGCTCGAACAGTTAGCTGTTGTTCCTCAACAGGGGCATCCGGAAGCTCCGGAAATGGATCATCTGTGTTTATGAATTGCACATGCGGCTCTGACTCTTCAGAGTCACCAGACACGGATTTAATTTCTGCGGTGATGGCCTTCTTCTCCTCCGAGTAAGAAGATACGGAGTGTACATAGGCTATTTGATCCTGGTCTTGAGGAGCTGCAGTCGCCATACTTGAACCACTAGGCAGACTGGGACTTGAGGTTACCATTGCTCACAAAGGCGGCATATATATACTATCCTCGACTCGTCCATGCCGACGTACGAGGCATGAGGTAAGGCTTATCAGTGAGAGGCACTTCGGTGATAAGCAGTATAATTGGATCAAGGAAAGTCAGCTGTAGAATCCTGCGGAAGCCCATCTGTTTATTTCTTTCCCGTGGCATCTGATTGACAGCAGGAGATCAAAAAGTGCACATGCTCACCTGCTGCGGTGGTCCAAGATAGTTCTGACAGCCAAAAGCGCTGAGCTTGCGATTGAAATATAACACTAACAACAAGTGAAATGAGATGAACCCCGTCTAAGAAATAACGTAGTGAATGAATATTCGTCAAATTCACAACCCAGTATCAAAATTACATATTAGTACAACGCCACCGAGCGATAGGAGAACTGGTGCTTAACCGCAATATAGCCCCCCCGGACAACCAACTGTCGTTCCGTACACAGCACCAGAAACTCCCGTAATTGTCAACACTGCATTCACAATACCACCCAAGCCCTCCCCAGCAATGAACCCGGCAGCTACAGCGAAGCAGTACATCTCATAGTGGCTGAAGAACCTGGAAAGCCTGTGAACTTATCAAAATGCAGTCGGGAGAGATACTTACATTCTACGCCAGAAGAAAGCGATTGTCGAGCCGAAGAACATAGCCAAGGGATAGGTGCATACATCTTTGATGATAGCGTTAGAAGTATTCAATGACCGAGTCAAAGTGTTCCTCACTCATGATAAAACCGATACCGATGGCATTAAAGTTCCTGAATGTCCAATTTATAAGGCTTCGTTTTGAGGTAAGATACCGAGAAACTTACGGAACCCAAATATGATATTTCGGCGGGACAACAGTATGCTTCATAACAACCGAAATCACAGCCGCGATGCCCAATCCTATTGCTGTATACCCTGACGATGGTGGGATGGGAAGGGTCGATGATGAAACCGCAACCCCAACTGCCTGTTGAATTGGTCAGCATGTGATTAAAGGTACAGTTCCATGAATAAAAACTCACCCTCCAAGATTGTACATCAGGTGTCGGGAAACTGCAAGTAGTGTAGGTGAGATCATTGATGCATGGATATGCAGTCGAGAAAACGATGTAGACACCAGCGGCCATGAAAATGGACACGACGGCGCCAGTCAGCTGACCGCAAAAGACAGCTTTGGGGGACGCTCTGAGAAGATGAGTCGCTTTGAGATCGCTGATCATATCAGCGGCTATGCGACAAATGAGTATTTGTCAGCGGCTCAAAGTATGGTCTACGGACCTTGCTCGGCAGCACCTAGGAATGATGTGTGAGAAGCAGTGGTTCACAGAAGCATGATACATACCTAAAGCAAGCATTCCCGATAACGAATTCAAGAGCTCGCCTCTCTGGACCGAGTATCCTTGCCCTTTGCCAATACCACCAAAAATTAGTTGAGAAGCATTACCTTTTGAGATACATGTCAGTATAGAATCACAGGTTCCCAGATGCACTCACCAATGGATGTCACAGGATTAATATTTGTGCGGCCAGCACTCTCGCATCCAATGAAACTAAACAGGAATGCGAAGACAATGGCTAAATTCTGACGTTCAAACACCAGTCATCATGAAGGAGTCGTGTCTCACCTAGAATTGTGATACCAACGTTCTGGCCATACTGAACACCCATGACAGAACATGTGATCACGATGCTAGCAACGAGCACACCGCCCCAGAGCCAGAATGGAACCCGGTCTTCAGGTGGTACAGGATCCACGATCTCTTCTTCGTTGTTCTTTTCGTAGGTGTGTCCGCTGAAACGTTCCGAGAGTGCACCTATCGCAAAACGCGCGGCTGAATAGATGGACTTCCAGTTGCAGGCAACTTCAGTGAAACTCGTGCAAAGTAGCATGAGTGTACCGGGCCAGACCTATACAGGATGGATGGATTGGATCTACAGTTTTGAGAAGACAGTCTCTTACCAACCAGTATCGCGGCGACGGGTGATTAATAGGATCAGACAGAGACCTCCAGATAACTGGTTCAACCGAGATGAACTTGAACAAGGATGAAGATCACGCACATGGATGCATAATTCATCTGCCCAGGGATGGATGTAGCTGCCGGAATACCGAAGGCCTGTGATCCTGTCAGATAGTCCGGTGAGTGAGAGGTTCTACGCATACCTTGCCCGTGTGAACTATAACAGGTCCGATGATAGCCCATGCAAGGAAGCTCTGCAGGCGTTATATAGGATAGGCATGCAGAACATAACACGGACTCACACCGCTCAAGAAGCTGTATGATGAATTGATTCCTGTGAGCATCCCTGCACCAATGAACGCTGGTGTCCATTCCCAAATCCACCCCTACTGAACTTTAGAAGACAAGTATATCTCGTGCAACAGCACAGACTGACCCAACTTTCTGCGGCAATGATGGATTCCCACCCTACTCGGTTGAGCGCATAAAATATATGCCAGTCCCAAAGAAGCCCAGGAGCGTATTCGCTGACGACGCGTAAAGTGATCGCAAAACAGAAAGAAATCAATAGTGCCTTTGTCTTTTTCTTAGCGTCTGTTGCAGCGTTTTTGCCCACGTGGAGCGAGCGAATCGTGTACGCTGCGGCAACACCGGAAGGAAACACGAGCTTTAGCTTCAAAATATAGAACTTCCGGAGCGGGATGGAAAATGCGAGACCAAAGAAAGCGCAGCAGATAGTAAACGTGAATAGCCGACCAATATCATCTCGAGGACTTGCACTGAGAAGACCAAGCTGGTATGCAGCAGGAAAGCCAGAGGTAAAAAGCAATCCAAGACTACCAGCAGCAGACGCTGCAGATTGGCACACGTTATTTTCCTTGGGACCAAAATAGCCGCCCCCAAGCCAGCTCGGTGCTGCGGTAGAAAAGGGCTTGAGGATAGCAAAACCTGCAAATCAACAGTAAGTGACACTCGCGCCGTGTCATATGAACAACCAAACCGAATATGGATCCAAATAATGATGCGCCGAAGGTCCACCCTGTCTACATACAGCTTCAGCTTCAGAATTCAAAGTTTCCCAAAGGATGTTTATAGACCTTCAAACCTAAATAAACGTTGCTTGCGGAAATAACTGCCCCGAGTAGGCAGCCGACGAGGAGAGCCCTGATGGTCAACTGTCTCTCTTCCACAGGAGAGTCTGGATCGATGGGGAAAGGATCGTCTGTATTAATGAAACGTCCACCAGACACCAACTCTCCACTATCATCATCCTGAGAGTTGCGTTCGACAGTGGATATTGATGTGGAATACTTCTCCTTCATTTCTGGAGAAGTGGGGTCATCAGGGTTGGAAATGCCACTCTGGTGGATGGCGTTGGAAATCATGTCGCGCAGAGACGACGTTGGATCATGCTGATCCGAGCTTTTATGAAAACTCTTATCCGGCATGAGATTTTCAAAAGTCAGGTGCTTCCCCATCCTTGTGGATGTCATTGTCAAAGAAAGTGTCTTGGCAAGTTGTATGTGTGGCACATTGCAATCAGTTTTTCCATATCGTCGATAAGACTATTTTTGTTTCACCTGAAAGGATGTGTATCCGCGGCCTATGTAAGCCTACCACATGGAACGGAGTTATGAATAGTACTAAGAAGTGAAATTAAAGCCTATCAGCACGAATGAAATAAAGACAGGAAGGCCCAGGCACTCACTGTCACTGCGTCAACCAGCATCCGAGGTGGCCAGTACCACGATGCGTCAGATCCTGAAGATTATATTTCCTATACTTCAAGCTTCTAGTGACCACCGCAATAAGTGCACAGTTTTGATATGAACCAAGATGACTACTGAAGCTTCAGAAGTTCAAGGTGGAAATAGGTGTTGACCGAGTTGTACTAGGCGCCCTAAACCATCAAGTAGTCGGAATTAATGACGGATTTCAACAACAGCCTCAGAAACATTATAGATCCTAGAATGTTGCAACTTGTAGATCGAGGACTTGCATGACTTGATTCATACTTGTATGACTTCTGAAGTGCAAGGGAGCAACTAGGTACTAGAATTTGACTAGCAGAGTCGGTGTTCATGATCATCGATCGGGTTCTCGGACATAGCCGCGTGGATTGGTTGAAGCGGCGCCTTAAGGCCTCAACCCGGAAATTCGCGAAGTTACTCTTTCGTGCAAAGCCTAACTGTAAAGTCGGTCGCGTCCATGTCTGTGACATCGTTTTTCTCGTCTTTCTTCAACACCGTGCACGGTGACGCACCGGAGGAGAAGCAACCAGAAAGCGAAAACAAGGAGGAGGAAGTTGCTGAGGTGGGGGAACCATCGAAAGAGTCTGAGGAAGAGGAAGTGGAAGCTGAGGACGTATGTCTCCATTCCAGATACAAATATCGTCTCCTCCTGTTGATGTTATTCCTGTTTGTAGATCCACCCTGTCATTATAGAGGAGTGCAAAAACTCAGCAGCGTGCGCTTCTTTAACGAGACATTTCGAACACTGCCAGGAGAAAGTCCAATCTGGACAAGGCTTTAAAGGCGAGGACTGCGTGGAAGAACTGTGAGTTGGTATTTGAATATTGATACCTGCATAACGCTCATATACTGTGATTATAGATGTAGGTCACTTATGTTATATACATGACATTCATATTGATTTTTCCTATTCTGACTACTTCATCTATAGTCCAGTAAGTCGTCTTTTCTCCTCTCCTTGGCATCCTCATTAACGGCGTGATATACAGCCTGATGCACTGCGCCGATGTATGTATATTCTGTCTTCACCCTTGAGGGTTCTTGCTTAACGTTTTACTTAGGCTTGTGCTGCACCAAAATTGTTCTCCAAGCTCAAGTAGACGCTAGGGTTAATACTACAGTGAGTCTTTCTGTTCAGTCTATTTCTAGCATCTCAGTTATTTGTCCCTATAGTTACAATACACGCTATCGTTCTTGAGGAGCAATACCATTTATCTCTCCTGCCACTAAATCCTACTGAGGATCATGTTGATCAGTAGATGCGCCGACATCATACTGCTGTCGGGCTGTTCTCTCGTTTGAACTGCACACTGTCATGCGGTCTTGGTTCCATTTGTCCAGTTTAAGACCGTTGGTTTTGAGACTATGACCGACATGTGGCCGATGAACAAAATTTGAACGATTTGTTTGTGAAAATGGTCTTGTTTCTTGTCCGTTGGGGCGGGGCCCTATGTCGGATACTACTCACGATAATGCACTTGATTTGTGCGTGTTTTCCGCTGTCCGAAGCCTCGTGTGGTTTCGGCTCTCGGTAGGGCCTTCGTCGGGCACCTGATATGGAAAGGAGTGGGGTGCATCTTCTCCTGCTCGTCTACCTCTCCTCAATCTCCTTTTCCTTTGGGCCTCACGTCCCAGAACGCCATTCCAGGTCTTCTCGTCTTTGCGATGAATGTAAGGGCTGCCTTCATTTTTTTGCGTCCGCTCAGCAAATATTTGACGTTGCATTGGCGGGGCCCGACTTCTGCGCGTAAGTAGTTCTCGGTGGTTGGCGAATACTGGACAGACTAACGAGAAGTGGCGGACTGGTTCATCATGGTTTGTAGGTATTTTTTGAGTGGGATGTGACTGGTGTGAAGTTGGAACAGCAGTGAGCTGTAGCGCCTAGGGAGTGTCTTGATCATTTTCACGAATCTTCCCGAGGGGGTTGTGGAAGTCGATCGCAAGCGAAGTAGAGCGCAGCGTGGTGAATTCTCCGTGATGGATTTCATGTCCTTGTTGAAGCGCTGCTTTAGGTTTCGATTGGAAAGAGGTGGTTGCTCTGATTGCAGCTTGGTTGTTCACCCCCAGTGTCATGGTGCACAGTACTCCCCTTCTCACCTCGATCTCTTCCCTGATCAGCTGTACTGCCAATACCATTCCTACTGCTTCCCCTTCGTACACTGTATGTTCTGCTGTGCTTCCCAGATGGAAGATCCTTTCCCTGGTCTTTCTTCCTTCTATCATCACCACCACTGCTGCTCCTACTCCTCTGTCGACCGGTGACCTGTCTGAATACTATGTCTGGTTCCCATTTTGGATAGTGGCACACGGGGCTGATGGTTTCTGTGAGTGAGGGATCAATTCTGAACTCATTGGTGAGGGGTGATGTTTCTTCTTGTCAAAGTTGCGTTTGGCACAGAAGTGATAGGCTGATGTGATGCCCTTGTGCAAGGGGTGGGACTGCAGGAGGGTGGCCATTCTGAGGGATGCTCTGTGGCAGGTTTTGTGGAGGTTCTGTTGAAAGGGTAGTACATTAGCATGTACAGTACACTTTTTCATAATGCATGGCCTCATAATGCATAATTTTGATAATGCATCACCTTTGGGTGGGTCCTGTTGTGGGATGCGGGCAATATGCATGTGAAACGCATAATGCATAAGCCTCTGGGCTGATTTATGCATTATGAGGCCATGTTCAGGTCAGCATCAGTCACTGTCAGCACCTATACTAATGTAGTTTAGACTATCTAAAGTGCATAGTGGTGTCAAAATTTGTCTTTGTTCTCTTCTCGCATGTCCAATAAGACCTGCACACCGCGAGAGAAGCCAGCTCCCTACAAGCAGCGCTCGCAGACAGTCACAAAGAATAAAGATGCACCCACTACCTCAGCCAAACCTCACAACTCAAAAAAAATCTCACCTTAAATGACTGGCTCGCTGTCTTCACATACATTGATACCCATCCCCATCAGTCACAAGCCAAAATTGTTTTACACTTCGAAAAAGAACTCACAGGGGCTTTGGCCTTTAGTCAATCAGCTTCTTTATTGCATGCCCTTGAATGACAGCCAGAGTTAGAAGTGTGAGTCAACTCTAATCCAAACACTTTATCATCAAAATGTCCACGTGTTGTAACCAGGCCAGATGTAGAGTGGGCCTTGTTCACATGGATCAAACATATGGAGATAAAGGGAGATACAGTGAATGGGCCAATGCTATGAGCCAAGCAAGCAAAGTTTGAGGAAGAATTTGATGTGCCAGAGGAAGAGAGGCTGTCGGGAGATGGTTGGATTGCTTCTTTTTGTTGAACGTACAAAATCCGAGAGCATCACTGGCATGGTGAAGCAGGATCCATAAATCTTGATGATGTTGCAGCTGAATGCATTTGATGCTGAAAGATTTTGGCTAAATACGCTCCCAAGGACCACTGGAACTTTGATGAGACCGGTTTCTTTCCCTTGTAAGCTGTCATTTTAGTTTTTCAAATTGCTGACAACTCACTTGTATTCAATGTCAAGCGCACCTCCAGATCATGGACTCACAATGAAACAGATGAGTGGCAGGAAGAAGGACAAATTTCACATATCAGTTGGCCTCACCTGTAATGCTGATGGCAGTGAGAAACTTGAGCCGTTTTTCATTGGAAGGGCAAGGAAGCCTCAGTGCTTCAAAAAACAAACACCTGAGCAATGTGGTTTCTACTATCGAAACAATAAAAAAGCTTGGATGACAACCGTGCTCTTTGAGGAGTAAATCATGTGTGAATTGATTCACTATGTTACTTACCAGAATTCAGATGGGTTAAAAAACTCAATCTCCAAATGAAGTGGGAGAATCAGAAGATCTGCCTATTTGTAGACAACTTCTCAGCCCACAAAATCCCCTATGAACCTTCAAACATCGAGCTCGAATATTTCGAGCCAAATATGACACCTTTTGTCCAGCCATATGATGCTGGCATCATCTGCTGCTTCAAAGCTGGCTATTGTCACAATTTTTGTGCTCAAGCCATTGAACTTGATGATGCTGGTGAATGAGAAATTTATAAAATAAATCTTCTTGAAGCCATGATGATGGCAAAGGAAGCATGGAATATTGTAACTTCAACAACCATCAAACATTGTTGGGATCATACTGCAATTCAACCGTGAGCACGCACATCATTTTTTTTATTGATTACAAAGATCTCATCTGCAAGTAGGGACGACTCATATGTTCCAACAAGCGTGGGTAACAGCAGCCCCCATAATGACCCTGTAGCATAGCAAATCATTTGGGAATTTGCCTCCAGTGAGATGTCTCTGCCTGAAGCAGAAACTTGCCTAGAACAACATTTTGCTGACCGCTATGCCAACATAGATTGGAGACCTGCTTTGAAGGCAGTTATGGATGCCAAGGGTGACATAGCTACTGCACTCGAAGCTGTTGGTACACTAGCTACTACTGCATCTCAATGAACTGGCCTCAAGATCTGGATTCCCACACGTCCAAAGATACCCACCCAAGTTACAATCCTCAAGATTGAACTCATGGATTCAGTTGGTGGTCTGAAGTCTCATAACTGAATTTTTGGCGAGCCACCCATAATCAAAGAGCTTTTGGACCCTGTTGAAGAGAGATCAACTAGTGGAGGTGTAGTATCCTGAAGGTTTTGAAGCATCCCAACTTCCTTTATTCAATCTCCAAGACTCATTTTTTCTGCTGCCACCCAAGGATGCCCAGAAAACCTGTTGCCCACTCCACCCTCTATTCATGGTTGCTAGGTTTGAGCATATGATCACCAAACCAAGACAAAAGGATATCATCAAAGCATGAGATGCTCTGCAGTTTGTTGGCATCAAGCATTACGCTGGGCTAAGGGAGGCAAACTACTCATTCATCCCTGTCTTACACTTGAGGGTGTAGGAAGTGCAACAAGCATTCCCCAAGATGACACAGGACACAAGGCTACAGACCACTGAGGCAATATGTACCATTGATAGGCTTTTTTTGACTGTAGGAACACATGTAGCCCCTAAGATCTTTGCTTTATTATGGCAGTATGCACCAAAACAGTTGGACCAACAACTCAGGTAAGTATATATATTGTTACTGATCTTGGAAGGTCAACTGACTGATACTTGCAGGACACAAAAATAAATCAAGTGTTTGCTGAGGAATGAGTCCCTTCTCTGGCCTGCCCTGTACTTTAGGGGGGCATTCTTTACTTATGCCATCAAGGAAGGCACAAGTGAGGTGATTCATTTGGATTGAAATGATGATCTAAACACAATCACTTGGCTGATTGCACTGGAGGAGTGGAAGGGTGGATATATTGTTATTGTCTACAAAGGTATAGAGCAGCATATCTTCTTACATGCAGGGGGTGTTTTTGGTTTTATGGCTCATACCTTGCCTCACTGTATCATACACCTATCACAGAGGGGTGTCAGATCATTCTGTCTCATGCCAGCAAGTTTATCCTTTATCACTAAGGGGTTCTGATTATCTAGTAGAGGGCACATAGTATATCCTACTGAGTAACTTGTATTCTCCTTTGGACTACAGATATTGCATATAATGCAAATAGCCAGAAGCCCATCTCCCAGTACTAGAAAAACCTTGGTTTCATATGTGATGTACTTCAAAAGTGTAGATGTGGGAGTCCTTGCCTCCTGCTGTATGCAGGCCTGTTATGTCTCATATAGTATGGGGCTTACTACCATATAACATTGTGTTCGTATGGTCATACAGTGTCTGTGGTAAGTAAGCCAATATCACACAGTTGTATAGTCATATGGTTGTATGGTCATACAGTCATACAGTTGTATGGTTGTATGGTTGGATTGTATGGTTGTACAGTTGTATAGTCATATGATCATATGGTCGTACAGTGTCTGTAGTAAGCAAGCTAATGTTATATGGTTGTATGGTTGTCCAGTTATAGCAGTATATGTAGTCAGTAAGCCAATTTTAAATAGCATACATGAATGTTAAATATGAACAGTAAGACAAAGTCACAGAAATGATTGTACAGTTGTATGGTTGCACAGTGTCTGTAGTAAGTAAGCCAATTTCACACAGTCATATAGTCATACAGTCACAGCAGTGTCTGTGGTAGGTAAGTGAATTTTAAATAGCATACATGAATATTAAATATGAACAGTAAGACAAAGTCACAGCATCCTTTGGGTAGAGAGTTGTCAGAAAGGCAAGGACATCACCCTGATTGAGAAGAAGCCAGTTCCAGAATAGAAATACAAACATATGTTTATTTTGCCAAGAGTGCAAAGCATGCATCCTGTGTTGTGACTATTATGTAAAAAACATTGAGAATATCTGATAACAGTCTCCAGAAAGGCACACTATATGTCTTAGACAAAGAAAACAATAGTCTCATAACTAAAATACAAAAATCTGTCAATGCAGGTGAAAACACAAAAGTGACAAACCCAAATTTGCCAAGGCAATCCATGTGGGATGCAACCAAAAGCAGTTATCAACAATGCTCAGGGCTCCCACAGACTCATGGGATATTATTTGGAACCAGGCAATGCAGATCACATGCCAGGAAATATGAAAACTGTGTAGGTTGCTAGCATACATGCACTCTAATAAAAGGGAAGAAGATGCTCACAGACAGACACCAGGAAATGAAGACAAAAGTAGTTAGGAAAGATGCCCAGGATTCCCATGGACTCATAGGTCATTATTTGGAACCAGGCAATACAGATTCTGTGCCAGGAAATTCAAAAACCGGGTAGCTTGCTAGCATACATGCATACTAATGAAAAGAGCAGGACATATCTAGTGGGGCAACTGGGGCAAAAGAGGGACCACTTACATAATTATAAAATAGCAATATCCACCATGATTAGTCATGTATTTGGTGGTATTTATCCCTCCCAAAGTATATATACAAATAAGAGTCAACTTTTAATTTTCCACCTTTTGAACTCATACCACCACCATCTCACTAGCAACTTTTCAATACACAATACCTATAGCCATCATGCCCACCAAAGCTAGTATCAAAACATCAGCAAATAAAGTAAGAAATCAATATTTAAATCCAATTAAATAAATGAATATTTAATTGGATTTAAATATTGATTTCTTACTTTATTTGCTGATGTTTTGATACTAGCTTTGGTGGGCATGATGGCTATAGGTATTGTGTATTGAAAAGTTGCTAGTGAGATGGTGGTGGTATGAGTTCAAAAGGTGGAAAATTAAAAGTTGACTCTTATTTGTATATATACTTTGGGAGGGATAAATACCACCAAATACATGACTAATCATGGTGGATATTGCTATTTTATAATTATGTAAGTGGTCCCTCTTTTGCCCCAGTTGCCCCACTAGATATGTCCTGCTCTTTTCATTAGTATGCATGTATGCTAGCAAGCCACCCGGTTTTTGAATTTCCTGGCACAGAATCTGTATTGCCTGGTTCCAAATAATGACCTATGAGTCCATGGGAATCCTGGGCATCTTTCCTAACTACTTTTGTCTTCATTTCCTGGTGTCTGTCTGTGAGCATCTTCTTCCCTTTTATTAGAGTGCATGTATGCTAGCAACCTACACAGTTTTCATATTTCCTGGCATGTGATCTGCATTGCCTGGTTCCAAATAATATCCCATGAGTCTGTGGGAGCCCTGAGCATTGTTGATAACTGCTTTTGGTTGCATCCCACATGGATTGCCTTGGCAAATTTGGGTTTGTCATGTTGAGCACCCGATACCTGTATGGGTACTGCCGGTGAATTAGCTGAATACAAGCCTAGTGCAAGCTTGAGTGCTACATTGGAAGATGAAGGATGGCCACATCCCCATCAGGAGGGTGAGCCCATATGTGAAACTTACCTGAGATCCATGCAAGACAGAGAATCATTGTGGCAATTTTGGTGAGCATCACACATACTAGATTCAGCGAGTCAAAGCTAACATGTGGTATTACTATACTATCGAGGATGACTGCATTAGAACTGTTTGAACTCGTTCAAGCTTTGTGTCTTCCTGACAATATCAAAACCAACAGCAGGTACAAGTTCACGGCAATCAAAGCTTTGTGCCTTACTTGTGCTCATCTACGCTCAGCTGGTGACATATCACCTGAGGCTCCCATGTTGTCAGGCCTGTTAGACGTACCACTGTGTCAGTGTGGCCAGTCTAAGTCGAGGCACTTTGAGTGATTCCCTGCCAGTACAAATAATTGTGAATATTTATGGCCCTTTAAGCTTACCTGGCAACAACCTGACACATCCAGACATAGTGCCGATGTTCCTGATCTATTCATAGATGCTGGCGGCTAGGAAAGTCCCATGCTTATGTCAGATACTCCTGGGAGGGGCTTAGTGCTAATAGCTTGTAGTCCGTTGCTTACATAACAAGGCAGGGCAGACGAGGCAGGGAAGACGAGGACAGATGAGTCAAATGCAATGCATTAGATAGACATAGACTTTGAATAAACTATAACTAATCCTCCTCCTCTAATGAGTCCTCATCATCGTCTGTACTGTCTATATATTCAACACTTTTGGGAGCCAGCCTTCTGTTAGACACTGCTGACCACACCCTCTTGGATGGTGGCACCTTCTCTTTCGCAGAACGGCGTTTACGGGAAACTCCAGCATCAGAGTGTTTCTTTCTGAGAGCTCTCACTGTCTCTCCGGCCTTACGGCGAGCATCTAAATGCTGGATGTGCTCCTGACGCTGGTGAGGAGTGAGCTTGACCCAGTGGCATCTGCTGTTTTGTAGGGCATCACGGAGCGATCAAATCTCGTCCACAGTACCGATTTTGTATGGGCTTGTGAAGGGCACACTCTCAGGCCAGCCTTTGATGTCAATACCATGCTTCTCCTTGATAGATGTCTCGAAGTTCGTATACACCATACATATATTATGGCCCTTCGTGATTGCATCTAACACACTGTTCCTCAGCCATCAAGAGACTCGGTTTAAATCATTAGGAAACACTCACTGAAGCCCGACTCAAGTAAACGTTTAGACTGCCTCTGCATATTCTCCACCGAATCACGCTCATCGATGTCTAAAAGAGATGTCAGACCACCAGGACATGAAAAAGATGAAAAAATACTTTTGTTTTGATTGCACCCCCACAATTCTAGCTGCTTGGTGATGTAGTCAGGTTGCAGTGAGAGAACATCCTCCCAGAAGTCCATCATGTTGTCAGTTCCAAACCACGTGGCTTGGTTTGTGTCATAGACGTAACCACGTGTCGCAAACAAACACGCATACATTCCAGTGCGGAGGGCCAAAGCCTCAAGCTAATGCATGATCAGTAGGAGAAACAACACAAATAAACTGAGACTACCTCCTTGAACACTTTGTTCAGGGTTACCTGTGCATCTTTTGAAGCAGCCGAGTTGGTAGCACGCACACTCAGGCGTTGTTGCGTGCGGTGTTCCTTGAGTTTCAAAATGTAATCTTTTTTCTCCTGTTGGGAGAGGTGCTTGATTGATGGATCATCCTCGATAATGTTGCGTATATCCACTAGTGTGTATTTTGCTCCCATCGGACGCCCTGCAGAGGAAGCGCTGAGGCAATGTTATCAATTGAAAAAGGAAACACACCTTCATTCAACTCAAGAGCCTTCACATGGACAATTGCGTTGTGCAAGGTAGGCCCCCGCTTGTTCTTGTAGAGTGTCTCGCAACCCAGGAGTAGCTTTACCTTCTCTGTAGTGACACTATGCTCATCCACTAGCTTCTCGATCATCTCTGCATATGTTGTGGCAAGAGACTTCACAGCGTCATTTAACGCAGCTTCCTTTGATCGTCGTTGCTCCTGAGCAATTCTTTGTAACACCTTCTGTGCCTCTGTGAGTTTGACACCCAGGCGAGTTGTGAGTACAGGTCATCCGGGGTTCTGTGCAGCCCATGAGGAATTGTTGTCGGTGGTGACTGCTTCTGTTGTGATGCTGTCAGTGTTTGAATCAAGCACTTGCCTCTGGGTCTGACCGACGTCAGATGGTCGAGAATCCGCAGATGATTTGGAATTGAATGTGGAGTTGTCGGGTGTCGGTACTTGTGTGTTAGGAGTTGGTGGTAGCTCCTCTCTACTATGGGCACTAGGGAGTTGCAGGAAACTGTCGGGTACCTGCCATGTAGATGTATCTTTGTACATAAGCTCAGAGAAAGGCGGGAGGTTGGCATATAGAGCAGGATCCTCCCAGTCGATGTTCACGTCCGAGTTCAAGAGGTCAGACAAACATGTGATTGGTTGTGCTGAGTCGAAGGGAATAAGATTTTGATATGAGGAGCTGTGTTCCAAAGTCGAAGGTCCATGATTTGGAGGATATAGGGTGTCCATAAAAGCTGTTAAAAAAAGGAGATTAAGTTCTTGTCACTACTGAAAAATCAGAGAACTTACCAGTTTGTTGAGCTCCAGAAAATGATCCATGGTCTGCAACGCGTTCAGAACAGCCAGTAGCAAAATAGTCAGGGTGGTAGCCATCAACGGAGGTGTCAGAGTGTTCATTGCCAATGAAGTCGAACATGATGAATAGTCAGAAAGTGATGGCACAATCTACTAAATCAACGTGATGTGTTGTGAACCAAATACCGTAAAATAACGCGAGTCACTTACATTGATTGGACCTATCAAAGGCACTAGAATATGTTAACATGAACCAAACACAATAAAACAACACGCGCTTACCTGGATTGCGACCCGTGGCTGATAAAATGATGTAAGTTAAAATTGATCGGTGTATTGAGACTGTTTCGTAGCTTTTAGGTGGCAAACTTGAGTTTGCATCAACACGTACCTGGCGCCTGGGACCTATACCTACGCCAGACCAGGATATTTGAGTCAAAGCACGAATCTCCCAGATCATCAATGATCTAGAAGTGTCAATTGACACTTACCAATATCAAAGCACAAACCTCCCAGATCATCAATGACCTAGAAGTGTCGATCAAGGACAAACCACGCATTAATTATGATCACGCTTACCAATACCAGACCCAAATCAAAGCACGAGTCTCCCAGATCATCAATGACCTAGAAGCATTGAGACCTAGAAGCATTGATCAAGGACAAACCACGCATTAATTATAAGTAGACACTTACCTATACCAGACCCGAATCAAAGCACGAATCTCCCAGATCATCAATGACCTAGTAGCAGCGTCAATCAAGGACAAACCACGCATTAATTAAAAGTAAACACTTACCTATACCAGACCCGAATCAAAGCACAAATCTCCCAGATCATCAATGACCTAGTAGCAGCGTCAATCAAGGACAAACCATGCATTAATTATAAGTAAATAACACTTACCTATACCAGAAAGCACGAATCTCCCAGATCATCAATGACCTAGCAGTGTCAATCAAGGACAGACCATGCATTAATTATAAGTAAATAACACTTACCTCTACCAGAAAGCACGAATCTCCCAGATCATCAATGACCTAGCAGCGTCAATCAAGGACAAACCATGCATTAATCACCTTGGCCAACCCATTAATTCTGTGAATCGTACACAATCGCAAACAATGGCATTTCCCACGTCAATTCTACCTTATTATTCACCTTCTCCACTTATTTTCTTTACACAGTTTTCTGTCATCATGCTTACGTCCCATGCTGTCATTTTTCGTCCTGGGGCGAAAAATGCCGTATTCTTCTGTCCACTGTTGCGCCCATGTGTTGAATGGTGCGTCCTCCTCACTATCCTCCATCCAGCCTTCACCGCACACTCTACCAAATGCCATGATTTGTAACACCTTTTACCAGTGCGTATTTATCTTCCTTAGCTCATCCAATTAATGATGTTCTTCCGGCACCGAATGCATCTACGGCCACTACACGGTCGCACAGTTCACAGCCATACTGAGTTCCCAAATGCATACCCTCTCATGGACAGTTTTGCAACTCCGAGACGGAATCTAAACGACTCTCCACGACAGCACTCTAAAAGCGTACCCATCCCCCCCACGATCAGAACCATCTTCTTCGTCTTCGCCAGGACCCACCTGTCGCAGGAGGCGGGAAACCTCTGCGAAAATGTTGCACTGGCTCAACCTTTCGACAGCTATTGACCGACCCATCTGGTCCTGAGTTCTACTGACAACAGTGATATTGAATGGGCTGAGAGTGTCCATGGTAAGCGGCATTCTAACTTATTAATGCGTCACTTTCTGAAAATCTGCTAGTGAAACAAATGATAATTCTTGTGCATCTTCTCTCGAACTCAAAACACTTCGCGAAACCCCTTTTCATATCCTCCCACCTCAACCACGCTCACCACAATATTACACTCTCTACTGAAGGCGACACTTCTGTACCAAATCAACCCACAAGAAAGAAGCCCAGTGTCTGGCAGAAAACAATGGCGACGATAGAATATACGAATTCAAGGACATAGGCGATGCCAGTCCGCTTTTCAGGTGAGTTCTATCACTCGTCCGCAATGCTACCTTAAATAATGGATATGTAAGGTATACCATATGAAACATACAGCTAATTCAAGCTGTCCTGGAGCAGTTTTTTTTATATCACTTTGGGAATAAGGTGCACACCCACATCTCATTTGTAATAGTACTGGCATAATGTAGCTTAGCATAGACAATCTTATAAGTTGACGACAACAATGAAACCTCATTCTATACGACATCCCCTCCCAATTGCCTGGAAGCTACTGGTCTCCAAATACATCGAAGGTGACTTCCTTACTGAGGCTCTTGTGTCAGGTTCGTGTTAAGCTGCAGAGAAGTCACACTCAGATACTATAGTATATGACGATGTGGCCTGGGACTGCTTCAAGTAGACATTTTATATTGTATCTGTCCTTGGTGCCGGTGATAGTAAATGGAGGCTGGCCATCAGCTTGCTTTGATCTGTAATTTTGATAAGAAGTTACGCCATAATTAATGTAACGCAGAAAGAAATGTCGAGCGAGTTGGACAATGATGTACTACAGTACTAGTACTTCAGCAAGTCACATGTAGTACTGATCTATAATTCAAAGAAGATTTATGATTCGGTGTACTTGAACTCAATTCATGTTACTTCGTTCACACAAGTAACTAGTCATTTCTAAGGTCTGAATCATGTACTTCAAGGCCCGAAAGAAAGAAAAAGGTATTTCATTCATTTGTTAATGTGACTGGAGCAAATCTTGAGTAAATCTGAAACACCGCAATGGTCACTGGTTAGTAGTATTGCCTATTTCAGACCTCGCACAACACATCTTCACGTCGCACAACACATCTTACTTATCATCAATAACCAGTAACCTATTGATATTTCCACTAATACTAACTCCTAATACGACATACATGGTACTAAGTAGCACTGTTATTCTATGTAGGACAGGACAATGTATCAAATATGTGCGTTGCTCATCTGCTCTGAGAGATCCTCAATATGAGACCAAATGTCTTCTTCATTGGAGGACATAGTCTGTGATTCGGTGGGCCAGAATGGGGAACCAGGCATCGGAATCGCACGAAGCTCGCCATTTTCATAGGCACAAGTGTACTGCGCGAGGGCTTCCTGGAACGTATCACATTTGTAGTGGATATTACCACTAACACGATTCACCCGCTGTGCGACATCATTCCTGAAAGCACGATAACACAAGATTAGATATGAGCAGATGCATTTTGATGAACTACATACCAGTGAAAGAAAAGTCCGACTTGTTGCCCCACAGTAATGACATAGAACTTGCTGTTATGCCCTTCTGGAGGCGAATTGAATGTGCTTGGGTGGGGAATTGATGGGCCATAGAGTGGTGCGTGTGGGGATGCCAAAATGGTTGTTCGAGTGGATGACGGTGAGGCTTGGGTGCGGGACCGTGCAGATGGTGCCACTCGAGATCGAATAGAGCTGGGAGTGTTTTGGGAGGGGGAAGCGAATGTTTGATTGACTTCTGTGGTGCGAGTCCTCAATATTTTTGTGGTGCTGGTTCTTGTCCGTGTCTTGGCAGTACCAGGTGCCAAAGTCTCGGTGGTCACGGTAGTCTTTGTTTCACGCACTTCAAGTGACATGACTTTGTGGGAATGTGTGAGAGGTGCTGCCAGTGTCAACCAGTCAGATGTATACATAATATTCAGTATATATATCTTAACATCTGCCTCAAGATCTTCAGATGAACTGTGACGCATGACACTTGCTTGACAAGTAAGTGGCCTAGAAACACGATATCAGTATTGTATCATGTGAATCTGTTGAACGGCGCATCAATCACTTGACAAATTGAGAATAATTGAGAATCAAAACATCGGAAAATGACGACAAGCTGTAGTTCACGCACATGCCATCGCACTGGACTAGCGTCTACAAAAATTCGACATGTTGTGTCCTCACGCGATCCTCGTCGTCGGGGCTCTGGGCCTACTCAGGAGGTACTCGGGCCAAGAAAAATTGCTGAATGAGCAGCAAGTGCTATAGAATGGCGGAGGGCTCGACTGCAAGGTACATAGTGACTATTGCTACTCGATAATGATTATATGATTCCAACGACTTACCTCAGAAATGTCTGCTGATCAACGGCATGCCCTAGAGGCGCTGCGTGACCATGGCGATGTCACAGATGATAATGCCCAGGTGGACGACAATGACTCCTATGGTGCCTGGGATGTTCTCGATGGAACCCAGGCACTCGATATAAGTCATGGAGGGGGAGAACTGCAGGAACTCACCTGTGGGATTGCTGGTGATTTTTGGAATGCGTAAGTCCAATTTGAAGGTAAAAGATGGCTCACTGCATACCTTGAAGCCATAGTAGACAGTCAGTTTGTCGTAAAGACTACCAGTCACGACGCGATCGAACACAATGTCGGATCGAGGCGTTTGACTACCAAATGCCAGCACTAATTACAGTGTACCTTACACGGAGTCTGGAGAGAGATGAGAAATGTGGAATGGGATTTTTTGAGAGGCAGAAAGATGTTGATGCCGATGACGTCAATGCTGGCCAAGTGTTTATCGAAGTTGTTGATATACATCGTGAGTATTGAATGTTTATTTACTTTGCTTCGATTACAAAGTTCTACAGACGCTGAGAAAGTGCACCTTTCAATTCTCTCATCCAACACATATCTTGCTTCAGCACTCGTCCGCCATGGTGTCATTCCCTGTTCCCCAATTAATCCTTCAGTTGGCATGACCATTGACTGCCTGGAGTTTTATCGTATCGCACGCCAGCGCTGCCCGAACTTCTCTATTCAAGCATTTACGAAGACTCTCTGTGATTTGCAAGGCGTGAGTCATAACATCACACTAACACTATTTATACAACAATAATTCATTATTTATCTAGAAACGTTTCCATAGCTACCTGTCATGCCAATTGTCGATCACTTTGGATCTTTACTTGCTCATTTGCACGCAGGTTCGTTCACTGGTCCAGGAGGCAATAGGACAAAGTGCTATTGACTGGAACCTCAAACATGCATGTCCTGCATGTTTGTATGCCCTAGATGCGGAACCTCAACTCAAATTTAGTCTGTTGTATGCAATGGATGGAAACAATTCACTCAAGCGAGTCCTCAAGCGAGTCCCTGACAAGGAGCATGCCGAAGATTTAGTATCACGGAACATTCCTCAGTCATCAGAGCTCCCGACGTCTCAATCCATCGTAGACTATCATTACTTGACCAGGGAGTATGTGGATTCTTTCGCAGACACATTAAACCCTCAAGTTGATTTGTTCAACGATGATGACGAGGTAAGCTTCACCTACTACAACTCTACTGACTAATGCTTTGATAGGATGATAACCCTTGTGCGGGTCGATGGAAAAATATGAAGGATGACAAAACAAAATGGATGTGGGGAGTTTTTGATGAGTTGGGGATCTTTATGGCAGTGTGTCGACACAGTTTTACACTTATCATTGCAGACATGGTGCAGAGTGGTGAATGGTATGTTCAATTCTTTATTGCAATGTATTCAGGTTAGCGACTAACAACATTCCAGTGCAAAATATCCACTCACTGTTGTCTCAAGGCTACTTGATACATTCAGACACAACCTTGGCAGGGGGTACGACATTGGATGTAGGTTCAAGACCACACTCTCTCGCAGCTCTCTTCGTCCTCATGCTCGTACCCTGAATCACACCCCACTTGTCGGAGCTTTTCATGGTCATGCCCACCGCCGTTTATGTCAACTAGATCACCTCACAACATATGTCACTGGTCTCGGCTTAGAAGACCTCGAGGGTTGTGAACGGACATTCTCAAAGTCAAACGTGCTCGCTCCTGCCACTCGTTATGCGAGTGTGTTTCACCATCGTCAAGCAAACTTAGGTTATTTTGAGCACAACAACGAATTTGAAATATATCATAATTTGAGTGAGTTGCATGGTGCCTTGTATTATGTTTCGTCTGACGGGTTCATTGGTAGCTACGTTCCTATACAACTACAAACAGGCGCTCAACATTCTGTATGATGGCCAGACTGTTCTTCCACGCCTGATGCAGGAACTCGGTGTTACGGACGAATCAGAACTCGAGGCGTGGCTTGAGAATGAACGTTGGAACAGTGCACTCTGGCACCAGCGAGAGGACAGCAGACACAAGGCTAAAACCTCCGAAGCGCGAGAACGAGACGAGGACAACAGCAAGAGCCTCGAAAGCGAAGGCCCGAGGCAGCAAATGGCCAAAGCCAAAGCAAAGCAAAGCCTCAGACAAGCAAATACACAGCAAAAGCTGGAGGAAAGGATGTATAGAACCTAACCCTAAGACATGCTATATATGACTATCTAAGACCTCAAACACCTGGGCAGGACCCCTGGCACCTGTCCCTGCCAAACCCAACCGCTACAACGTGCGTATCTCCTAAGTCATACACATGAGCTGGAGCAGGAAACTCTTCAAATGGAATATTGGCAGAAGCTCGTGAACTTGTCCACAAGCAAGTACGTACCTATTTTTTTTATCCCTGCGACGACACTTATCTCTAGTATTAGGAAGGAATTAGATGGGACGGCGTGGTCTCTGACCATGCCAGGATCATCCTTTGGACAGGCCGACGTTAGCATGACAGTAAGACTCAAGACAGCATGCTGTCATGCACTAGAGAATTATGAGAAGGACCTCAAAATTGTCCATGACCTGGAGATGAAGCTTGGCGTGGACAAACATTGGCAACTGGAAGATATTGAGTGGCAAAATGCTGGATGGCTCGTCGTCAACAGGAAGTACCAGCTGGCATTGGACACGCTCGAAGGACTAATTGTTGCCAGGATCTTCGAACTCTCCAAGATGAATAGGGCAGGAACAGGTATGTCGTTGATTTTTGTTTGAAATATATACTCAATGTGCATTGTAACTAGGCTATAAAATGCAAAAACACATCAGCAAGGCCCTCCAAGTCCAGTCTGCAGCCATCCATACAGCTCTCGATTGCTATAACCTCACTGCTCGTGCATTATCCTCACCACGTCCAGCACTGAAGTGGGAAGATGTTGTCGAGTACGCGTTCCTTACAGATTTCGAGCTTCTCCGCGACGCACACGAGGATATTTCGCAATGCCCGTGGGCTACTCCATCTGGTCGCCATGCAATGGACTTATATTTCAAGATGTGTCACGCGAGGGAAGAAATTGAGCGTCTGAATGTAGAGATCAGGTGTGTGGCTACGTATCTGCAAGACGAGAGACATTACCTGGAGGAATGCGAGATCCTATTGCACACGCTGCACCCAGGTTTGGCCCATCAAGTACAGATCCTCCGGAACACGCGCGGCCGCTTCCTGGATTATCACTGCCAGCGGCTGCGAGACATTGTGGGGCTACCTGGGTTTTCCGGGACACTGCTCCCTGGGCAGGCTCTGCACAATGGTCCAGGAGAGTTGACAATGGATGGTGTACACTATGTACACCCAAAGAGTATCTGACATAAGCACGGGACTTTCCTAGCTGCCGGCATCTATGAATAGATCAGGAACATCGGCACTATGTCCGGATGTGTCAGGTTGTTGCCAGGTAAGCTTAAAGGGCCATAAATATTCACAATTATTTGTACTGGCAGGGAATCACTCAAAGTGCCTCGACTTAGACTGGCCACACCGACACAGTGGTACGTCTAACAGGCCTGACAACATGGGAGCCTCAGGTGTGACATATATGATCTTGTATCTAAATTCGACCGTTCTGCTTCTGCCATATCTGAAATAGTAAACTGGGTTGTTGTTGTTGTTGATGATGATGAAAAATGAGGGCATCTCCTGGATTTTGATCAAGAGCATCTGCTCTCGAGACTTAACTTGGAGAAGTACGTGAGCACAGTCCATGAAGGTGGTGCACCTTTGACGGGAGTCTGGGGTTTTATCGACTACACCATATGGCAAATCTGTCGGCCATCTCACTGGCAATGGCAGGCATATAACAGTTATAAAAAATACCACACCCTTAAGTTTCAGGCTGTAATGTTGCCGAATGGGATGTTTGGTCATCTATATGGCCCCATTGAAGGACAACACAATGATTCCTTTCTTCTGTTGGAAAGTGAGCTAATGGCCAGTTGTGAGGAATATGCTGTGTGTGATGGCATGGACAAGCATACTCCTATGGAGGACCATTACTTGCAGCTCTTTGGTGATGCTACTTATGGTGTCAGTCCACAAATGATCAGCCCATTTTCAGGTCCTGGAAATCACACAGAAGAGGAACAGCAGTTCAATGCAGCCATGGGAGTTGTGCACATAGAAGTCAAGCATGGATTTGGTATTGTCGCAAATACATGGCCAGCACTCAATGCACACGGGAAGATGCACATTTTTTCTTCTCCCATTGGAACCCAGTATCACACAGTTATATGAACACAGTCAACTGTTTACAGTACAATCAAGTTTTGCAGTTTTTTAATTGCCAGCCTCCTAGATTGCACAAGTACTTTCATCATTAATTATGTGCAGTCTACAGATATATACTAATGATACATGATAGCGATAGCACAAGTCAACAGTCAATCAAGTCATGACCATCGTAATCTACTGCTTTGCAACATGTAAAACTGCCTCCAAGTAGCAGTCAGAAGTTCACTCGAGAACAGCTGTACAAGCCTTCATCTCCTCAATGACAGCTTCATTCTGCTTGCTCTGTATCTCCTTGCCGTGTTTGATAACATCAAGGACAGACTGCCATTCAGTTCCTGTTTGCTCACGACAGATGCGCTTGGTGGAAGCATGAGGTGGAGACAGCTGCTTGGGGGCATGATAAGGAGAAATATTCTCCTTGTCAGAGTCATCATCAATGTCATCATCAATGTCAACATCATCAAGCTTCCGCTTGTGAGTGTTGCGAGTGTTTCAAGTAGCTTGTGCTCGGATAATCTTGCCACCTACTAGATCAGCTTCAGCTTTCTAACATCTTGTAAGTACGATGAAGCAATACAGAGGCTGAAAACACTCACCTTCCTTTCACTGTCCTTCTGTTCATTATTCAGCATAGCAGCAGTGTGTGCGAGGAATGATAGCTAGATGAGAAGGGGTGAAAAGTGAAGAAAGGGTGAAGTGGGGTATAACTCAAATAGACCTCTGGACACGAGTATAGTATTCGGCCCGAGGGGATTGCTACTGAGAATGATTCCTCTAAGTAAAATATGCTGAGGAGAACTTGGGAAACTAGTAAGTAATGTTGAGAAGTGAGGAAACGTGAAAGCTGAAGGCGAGCTGACGTGAGCTGATGCAATGTGATGTGGAGTGACACAAACCGATGCAAAGCGATATAAGCCGACGCAATATGATGCGCCAAACGTGCGAGGCGATAGAAAAATGTGCGGCTGAAGATCCGCTTATGCACTTAGAGAGTATGGACGAGCCAATATGTAGAAGGCATGAAAGCCGGTGGATATGCGAAAGTACCAATGTATTCAAGTAAGGCGGCCGATAGAAAGATGCATGCCGAGATAAGCCAGAGTTTTACTGAATGCTAGTGCGGAAGTTCTGATTTTGCGTGCAGAGTGGTGATAGATTTCAAGTGGGGAAAAAGATTACATGAACTTCGTAAATGTGGGATATATATGTATGCACGCCTAAGCACTATTCAGGACTGAGTAGATAATGATAAGTATGTAAGTAGGGTCTGTGACACATGCAATAAGAATATAAATGAAATAGCTTCAGAAATAAAGTCAGTCTAATACTAATTGGGTATGGTACTCACCAATGAACCAACAGAGGATATGGATAGGACGGACGGAGGATGTGCGAAGGACCCGAAGAAAAGCCAATGTGAGCTGATGACCTGCGTCCGTCGGGCGACAATAAAATACCATGCGCTATGTCAAAAACAATGCAGGGGATAATAGAGTCTGAGGGATGGCAAATATGGCCTATACAAGGCTGAAAAGACCATAGGTCTTACAGCAGCTCTCTGGCTTTCCGAGATTTTGTCCAACAGTGCACTATTAATGCTGGGAACGGAGTCTGGGTCCTTGATGTTGACATTTGGGTGAGCATGCTATAATCGAAAGCTTCGAGTACTTACATCTTGATACCTAAGAAGCTGTCCCATCTTGTTGCAAACACCTGCATATGAAGTGTTTTTGAAGTAGCCTCACTTCTTCATAGCTTCATGGACATCTTTCCATGCCTGAGTCTTGTGAGCATGCTTGGCAGCATATGGGTTTCGCTTGCTAACAACCCTCACGAGATGCTCAAGTGCGGCACCTCCATATTTTGAGCAAGACACTGTGTGTGATTTCTTCTCCTCATTGCCAGTGGACAACAGAAGTGGTGATTCAGATGGTCATAATATATCAGCACTGAGTTTAGAGAGTTTTATGTCTAAAGTGGGAGACAAGGGAGACGAAGGTGTTGGAAACTTCTGTTGAGGTGGAGGCTGAGGTGATGGTGCACGGAGGACAAAAGGGTCTGTCATACACAGCAAATCAGGTTCCCAGAACACAGAAATATCATCACCAGTCCCAGATGTAGAGAACTCAGAAACTCAATTTGGTTCAACATGGGCCATCATGTCATTGACCCAAGATAGCCGAGTGCTAGTTGTGCAGGGTTGTGCATTGTGAGACATGGTAGCAAGTTCCCGTACAAGTTGTACAAATCCCATGCTCTTATCATTGTGAACATGGTGACATGGTAGAGCTGAGCACACACAGTGCACATCATAATCAATAGAAAAGTGGAGTCCGCTGCATACATGCATCGTCACTGTCATGCAGGGAACATTCTTGAGGGTTACAATTGATGCCGTAACTTGTAAGTCTAATGTGGCTAGCGAAAGATTAAGGTTCTGAAATTTTACTTAACATGTTCTGACTCCAATGATCAAGGTTTGATGTAAATATCACAGGCCTTGAGTTAATAAAATCCTCCAAAAAATCTTAGCAAAAACACTCTAATGTGCATCATTGAAGGAATTCAAGTTGGTGCCTACCTGTCATGGAGGGCGTGACGTGACATTATTCCATGTGATTTCGACGTGTCACTTACCAGACGCATCTGCTTCCATCATTCACCCCAAATTTGACCTAGTGATACTACATATACATTATGATACTGAACAGCAAACATGTCACAAGTCCCAGCAAAAGGGTCTGTACTTGTATTTGCATAATTACAACCTTATCATGTCTGGGTCTACAACACCATCAATTCCACTTACATCCATAACACCCATCAAAAAAAAAAACTTACCCCTGCCTGCCTCTGTCAGATTCAAATCCTTGCTATCAGGTATTGTTGCCATACACAAATACTCACCAGACGTCGTGCATGAGGTTTACAAATGTGTTGAAAGCTTAGCAGAGACTGAGAAGTGTGTGAGGGACATGCACCATGTCTCTAAAAGCTGGATTGAAGTGGCACTCGAGCGGAGAGAGCAGGAAGCACGTAGAGCTATGAGAGCCTCGATGTAACGGGTGCTCAATGAGTGACAGAGACAAGCGAAAGACGAGAGGAGAAGAGAGGTCAGATACTGGTGTTGATTCGACGAGGAAAAAGGTACAAAGCTCCAAGCCACATATAAGTATCTAGAATGTGATAATGTAAAGTGAAACACAACAATGAGACCAGGTATAGTAAATGCGTCAGTGATACACTAAGTCTGTAAATATCCGAACGAGCTGTTCCGCACGGAACGGAGTACATCGGTGCAATGCTGATACTGTAAAGAGACCATGAGCTAAGTAGAATGGCCATGGACTATGTAGAGTGACCATGACCATGACATCATCCCCCTTCTAGAGCAAGTGAGGATGAGCCTACAGGTTGAGCCTTTCGGCAGGACGCGAGACACGACCCCCATGGGTCGTCGTCTGCGTTGGAGGCACATACTCAGATCTCAATCTCTGATGTACGGCAACAGGCAATGGAGGACGGGCAGCAGTGGGAGGAATGGCAGCAAGGGCAGGTGCAGGAGGTTTGGCAGGTGTGGAAGGTGCAGCGAGCGGCAGGATCTGTGCAGACGAAGGAAGAAGATTATCAGTAGCAACAAGGAGAGCATGGTAGTTTTTGGTCATGTCAATGACATGAGAACACAGTGAACGCGGGTGACGTCAATGGTAATGTTTGATTAGCTCATTAAATGAAGTGGGAATGTCAGAAAGAGGGAGCCATGAGTCATCTGACTCAGGCAAAGACTTCCACCATACAAGGTACTCATAACGGTGTCCAGTCTTGCAGCAGTCGAGAATTATCTTGATGTCATTGGCAGGATCATCAGCGAGAGTGAAAGGGAGTGGTGCTGAGTGAGAGTGAAAATCAGAAGGGTCAATGTAGGGTTCAAGTAGAGCAACATTAAAGACAGGATGGAGGCAAGATAAATAGGTAGGCAGTCGAAGTAGGTAGGCAGAAGCACCGATTTTGCGTATGATGGGATATGGTCTGAGTCTACGATGGTCAAGCTTTAAGGATGGTTGTGTTGTCTTGATGTTTTGGCGCAGTAACCAGACCAATTGGTCCGGTTTGAACTCTGGCGCGGGCAACACTTTCCAGTTGTAGTACTTGGCTTGAGTGTTTTGTGCGAACTGTAACTCGGCACGTAGCTCTTCGTGAATCACGTCGAGTCTTACGGTGAGATCAGCGGCCACAGGGACGGTTGAATGTTCAGTGATCTGTGGTTCAAAGGTAGGGTGGAAGGCGTAGTTAGCGAAAAACGGAGTCTGATGAGTGGAGGTGTTCTCCAGATTGTTCAATGCAAACTCAGCAAGAGGGAGGTAGTCAACCCAGTCATCCTGTTGGTAAGAACAATAAGGGCAGAGATAAGTCTCCATCATCTGATTTGTACGTTCCATCAGACTGTCGGTCTGCGGGTGGTACACTGTCGACATGTGCGTGGCTATCTTTAGTAATGAAGTTAGCTCAGACCAAAACTTAGATATGAAGATGGAGCTGTGATCCGAAACTATCGAATCTGGGAGGCTGTGTAACTGGAAGATTCAGTCGAGGAACAACCAGGCCAAGTCAGGAACAGATAGTGCTTCCTGACATGGGATGAGGTGCACATATCTAGTGAGACAGTCGCAAACGACCCATATTGAGTCGTAGTTGTGAGATGCTGGGAGTTTGATGACGAAGTCCATGGATATGGCTTTCCATGGATGGGAAGGGATGTCGAGGGGCTGTAGTAAGCCATAAGGTTTATGGCGAGGGGTCTTGATGCGAGCACAGGTGTCGCAGGCTTCCACGTAACGTTGGACATAAGTTTGCATGCCGGGCCACAAATAGTCTCTGGACACGAGTCTGAGCATGCAATTACGACCCAGGTGACCTGCAATGACCGCATCGTGGTGGGAGGACAGAATATCAGTGTGCAACAGGAGAGGTACAAAAAGTTTTCCTTTGTGGAATACGAGACCACCATCAGAGGTGAAGTCTGTATTGCCACGCACGAGTGCTTCGCGCCACTTGGTGTCTTCTTGAAGTGCTGTTTTGAAGTGTTTGAGGAGGGCCAAGCTGTCGATGGAGAGGGTAGTGATAGCATTGAGGTGAGGGATGGCAAGAGGTAGTGATTCTGTGTGTTTAGGCGTTAGTATAACACGGTTTTGACCCAATAGGGTCTCATCTCCCTTCTTGGGGAGGAAATCGGGACAACGAGAGGGCGCGTCAGCAATATTACTTTTGCCTGGGGCCCAGGTCAAAGAAAAATCAAAATCGGAAAGAAATATCGCCCAACGCACCTGGCGGCGGTTGAGGATGTGAGAAGACATAAAATATTTGAAGTTCTTGTGGTCAGAAATAATGGAAATGGCGAATGGCGAACCAAGTAACCATGCTCTCATATCACGGAAGGTGTCCACGACGGCGAGTAACTCTTTGTCGTGCACTTCATAATTGATTTCTGTGGGAGAAAGCTTCCGTGAGTAGAACGCAACTGGACGAAGGCAGCCGTCGCGATCAGGCTGTTGAAACACCCCCGAAATGGCGAAGTCCAAGCCATCTGTGGCCACAGTGCACGGCTTCTGGGGGTCAAAATGTTGCAAGATGGGGGATAAGACGAAAGCCTGCTTGAGTGCGTCGAAAGCACAGCGAGTGGTTCCTGAAAGGTCGAAAGGAATGTTCTTTTTCGTTAAGTCAGTCAGAGGTTGAGTAATGCGTGAGTAACCATCAATGAAACATCTATAGAAATTCGCAAACCCGAGAAAGGATTGAACATCCTTCACAGAAGCTGGCACAGGCCACAAAACAATGGTGTCCAGCTTCTTCAGATTCATTTTGATGCCATCAGCACCAATGATATAGCCCAGGTACTTGACTTTGGACTTGTCCCATTTGCACTTCGCTGGGTTAGCGCAAAGGCAAGCATCACAAAGTCAGTCCAGTACGAGACGTACGTGCTCGTCATGCTCGTCCTGAGAGCGGGAAAAGATTAGTATGTCGTCTAAGTAGATGACACAAATGATTTCAAGCAAGTCGCGGAGGTATCTTGAATGAAGGCTTGAAAAGCAGCAGGAGCATTAGTAAGACCATAGGGAAATGACGAGATGTTCAAACAGGCCGAGTGGTGTCCTAAACACTGTTTTCCACTCGTCACCTTTCTTGATTCGAAGGTGACTGTAGGCAGATTTGAGGTCAATAACAGAGAAAACCTTACAGCCCTGTACACGATCGAGTAGATCGTGGACAAGGGGAACAGGGTAACGATTCTTTTTTGTGATCGTGTTAAGACCACGGTAATCAACGCATAAGCATAGTTCACTGGTCTTCTTGCGAATGAAGAGAACTGGTGCGCCCACAGATGAGGTAGAGCTGTGAATGTGCCTGCAGTCCAAGTTCTTGTGAACATATTCAGTGAGGGCCTCACGTTCTGGGGGCGTGAGACGATAGAGGGGCCTGAATGGAGGTGTTTTCCCCTTGTCGAGTTCAATGTCAACATCATATGCTCAATGTGGGGGCAGCTTCTCGAATTCGGAGGGGGAGAATATGGTAGAGGCATAGTCCTTGTATTTACTGGGGATAGCATCAAGTACCTCATCAATGGCGAAAGGTACAGCAGGAACTTCATCATCGACAGTGTCGATGGATGATGATGCGGTGGTGCGGACGTAGGCAGGA